CCCCAGCAGCAGCCCCAACACACAGCACAGCTCAGACCCAGAGCAGTGGTCTTCGATGCCACTCTGCTTCCCGTCCTCATGTCATGGACAGGAGAGAGGGAGGGAGGGTCAAAGGGAGGCAGAGAGAGACCACAGCTCTTCCTGTCTCCCTCCAGCCTGGCTTGTGCCCTGATGCCTGTCTCTTGCCCTCCACAGGCCCTCCCTGTGCTCCAGGACCCACAGAATCCAGTGTGAGGCCTCCTTTCCTCCTGCTCCGATGGAGCCTCCACCTGGCTCCTGGGACTTTCTGTAGCAGACATGGCACTGGGCCATCCGGGGGACCTGTGGACTACAGTGGACCAGGCAGGGCCCTGTGGGTGGCTGGCTGTGACGAGAGAAAGACCAAGGCCCGTGGTGGGTACAGGAGGTGAGGACTGGGCAGTGGGCAAGGGTCCCCTTCCCCCTCTTCCCAGGAGCACGCTCTGTGCCATGCTGTGTCCTGGTCCCTGGGCAGGGCCAGGGCTCCCCTGACCATAGGGAGTGGAAACCACCTCCTCCCAGCCAGCACAGGGGAACAACGAGACAGTGTAGGCCCAGCCCGCTGTCCTAGCTGGCTCTGGGAAAATGGCTGCAGCTTGCTGCTTTGCAGTTGGGGCACCCAGGCTGCCCTGCAGTCTCCCCTGGGGCTGCATGTGGGAGTTGCTGGAGCTCGGGGAGGGGTCTACACAGGACGTGGAATTGACAGCGGAGGTTCTGGGGATGGCGAGGCCCTCTAAGCGTCTTCTTCTCTGAGATAGGCGGCAAGGCCCTCAGGCACCCCAAACAGCAATCACACCACCCACAGCCCTGCTCTTGGCAATGCACATCTCCAGGGGTCTCCCTGGCAACCCCTCAAACCCCCATTCGTGCAGCTGAGCTGGCCAGGTTCAGCGGTAGACAAGTGATCTTCAGCAGGAGGCAGTGCCTCCCGGAGGTGACTGGTCTGTGAGTCTGCAGGACGCAGATACTCCTGGAAGCTCAGCAGTGCTGCTCTCAGATCCCCCCAGACCAAGGACTTGTCAGTGCTGGGGCCTGGGGACACTCAGGGAACAGGGCCTTGGCCAGGGAAGCTTGGCCTTTTTGAGGTTTTCCTTCAGGGACCAAGACAGGAGGTGCAGGAGGTCTCAGCCTGTTGTTACCAGGAAACATGACAACACTTGCTGGGTGGAACATGTCCCTGAGGGTGCTGTGCTATGCTGGGGTCTCCACAGAACCATGCAGAAGCCCAGGAGCCCTCCTGAGGGTGGCAGCTGGCCTCTCTACCTCACCCTGTCTGACAGAAAGATGGTACAGGTGGGTGCATGACTGCTGTTCCAGAAAGTCCCAGAAAGGCTGGGCCCTCTGTTCAGTCTGGGCTTCAGAAAGCTTGCAGAGTGGGAGGAAACACCAGGGCATCGCCTCTCCCTGGGAAGTCTCCTGCGGGGGTTCCTGGGGTGGGCGGCCACTTCTGCCAAGAGGTGCAGGAGCTGACCCACTGCACAGATGAGGGTGTTGAGTCAGGGAGGAGGGGCTTTCCCGGGCTGTACAGGAGCCAGTGGTAGCTGAAGAAGGCCAGGAGCCCGAACCTGAGCATAAAGATGCCTGGGTGGCAGAGTCTGCAGGGGAAATTCTACCTTCTGCCCCTAGAGGTCCCTGGGCAGTCACTGGCTGCTCCAGCCTCCCTGTCAGTGCCTAGTAGGACTCTCCCTCGATGAACACTGCCTCAAAGGGAACCCACGTGCTTGGTCCTGCCCGTGCTGGTCCGGCCGGGTGACCAGGATTTCCTGATATTGATGTTGTGGTAGTAGAAACCATCAAGGGAGCAGAAGCGGATGAATCTTCAAATTCAATCCGGGTCCTGTGGTCATCTATTGTGGGGGCAAGGGCTTCACTGATCTCCTGGGCCCCCATGAACACAAGGACTCCCCGAGAGCTGGCAGACAGGAAGATGAATTGTCTGAGATGCCCATGACAACATCTCGAGGGATGTGAGGGACCCGGGACCCTGTTTCCTTCCTCATGTGATAACTTCCTCTTTCGATAAGAATCCCGGAATGGCCACAAGCCCTCCCAGCAGATTTTCTCCTGGCCCCGTGTACAGAGTCCAGAGCTGGGACACACTGCCCACTGGGTCCCCACCTCCGCCCTGCCGAGGCCCCACTGGGGCACCTGAGTCAGCACAGCTAGGTCTTGCCACTTCTTTCCATGCATGCAATCTAGGAATGCCTGCCTGTGTCACGGCTCAGCCCTGATGTCATCTTTCCAGAGAGAGATGTGTGGCTGCCCACAAACCTCATCGGCAAACCCATGGATTGTGGTCCTGCAATGCTGCCTTTGGCACCGGAAGGCTGTGCTGCTGACCTGGATCTCTCCCTGTGGCCCCTGCTTCCCTCTCTTCCTGCCCCTCCCTGGGGCCCTTGGCTGCTGGCCTGTTGCTCGCTGGGTCCAGCAAGCATGACCCCACACCCCGGCCATTCTGGCCCTCAGCCCTTCGTCTTGAGTAATCCTTGCGACCTCAATCATCAGGTGAACTTGGACCCCTCCCAGCACTGCGTCCTGACCCACGGCCTCTGAAGCCAAGCCTTCCTGTGGACCTGAGACCCTACAGACCTGCCCCTTGGTCCTCTGGGTCCACAGCTGATAACCTGTATGAGATTCTCTTACTTATGTTCAAAAGCACACTTAGGAAAGGCAGTCGAGGAGACTGACCTTGCTTCTCCATCAGTGTGGGCACAGAGGCCATGAAGGTAGGGTCCTGACTATTTCCCAGCATCCTAGTTCTGTCTTCCCTGAGAAGAACCTGGTAGGTGCTCCATAAAGGAATGAAGCTGTACAGAGAGGTACACACGTCCGTAATCCCAGCACATGGGGAGGCAGAGGCAAGAGGATCATGATTTCAAGTCCAGTTCAGGGAATTTAGTGACTCAATAAGACCCAGTCTCAAGATTTAAAAGGAAAGAAATGCAGGTAGGGTGGGACGTAGCTCAGTGTAAATGCGTGTTCAATCCCCAGTTCTGCATAAAGAAAAGGGAAGGTAAAAAGCCTGTCCTCTCACTAGACTCGACCTCCCTCTGATGAACCTGCCTCTGAGACCCCCAGGCTTCTCTTTTGCCGTCTCCTCTTCCCTCTCCCACAGCCCCCCTCCCTTGCTCTTTCATTCTGCAGAGAGGCTGAGTGTCCCAGAAATCCATTTCCGGCCACCGAAGCCTGGAAAGCACTTCCTCGAGCTCTCTCAGGTCTGAACATTCCCCACCCTAGGCTGGACCACACCATGGAAAAGTCCGCTGCGGCCTCCTCACACAGATTGAGAAATTCAAGAGCCAGATGTAGGTGCCAGAGGCAGCGTTCCACCTGCCTCCTCCTGGTACAGGGTCTGGCGCAGAGTAGAAAGGTCTGCCCACTTCTGCTGACTCTTCTTCAGGAGCAAAAGGACCTCCACCCCAGAGGGGCCACACCAGTTCTCGGCCTCCCTGGCTACCAGCTTAGCTACTACCTGTAGCTTTCCTCCCCACCTCAGGCCTCCAGACCTGTCTGACACAGACCTCCACACCAGGTGGCTTCTGCAGCTAGTATCCTTGCTCCCTTGCATGTTCCCTGAGGTCCTGCAAAAAGGTAGAGGAAGAGTCATCCTCCCAGGCCCAGCCTGACCACCTATGTATGTCCAGTAGACTCAGAAAGGCAGGGCGGCTCTCAGGGCAGGTCACGGACCCTGCCAGGGAACTCCAGCGGGCTCTGGAGGACTGACACTTGGCTTTCCCAAGCAAGTGCAACAAAGCCCCACCTTGTGGTGAAGCTCTCCAGGGCCACATGGACCACAGCACTCAGGCCACGAGTTGTACCTGCTGTCTGAGGGTGCAGCTAGGTGTCCTTACTCGTGGCTGACCTCATGGGGCTCCCAGAGTGGGGAGCATGTAACCTACCAGAGGGGCATCTCCAGAGCCTGGGAGCCTCTTTTGAGGCAACAGACAGGATTTCAGGATCACAGAAAGGCACCTTTACGTAAAGCATCCTCCCCTCCCAGATGCATCTGTGAGTATAGACTTAGCCACTCCCACCAACACGTGTGTACATGGAAATGGACATGTGTGGACCCACAGCCTCGTGGCCATGAAAGTTCTGGCCTGGGCAGCTTGAGCCAGGGCCCCTGTGCAAATACAAACTCGTGCTGTTTTCTCCAGAACCCATTGTGAAAACCAAACACTTGTTCTCTCCTCAAGAGCCTGTCATGGTTCCAGACGCAGTTCCTGCTTCCACAGAGAGGACTCCAAAGCTGCTGCACATCAGGGGCAGCTGGAACTGACCGTGCAGGATGCTGAACCTGGAGAAGCTTGCTAGGGAGGCCGCAGCGCCCTGCACTGGTATGGCCGCAGCAGCCCCTGCTGTTCCTGGTGCCTTGGGGGCGGCAGTGCGTCCACTCAAAGGGGCAGGCTGCCCTACAGAGGGCAGTGTAGCTCATGGAGCTCAGAGGAAGAGTCACTCAGCCAGGAGGCGTCACAGCCAGCAGTCCAACTTGGTGGGGGCTGACTTTGTGCAGCTTGCACAGGGCCATGGAAACCACAAGCGCTGCTGTCTGCTGTCAGACGGACCATCTCCGTGAAGGAATGCACTGCAGTCCTGCTGGCTGGGTGTGCGAGGGGCTGCCATGCCCTCTGCTCAGGGGGTAGTGGTCCTTGGCCGGGCTGAGCTCACTGGCTGCTCTGGCTCCTTGGAGGGGACCCATGTGAGTCACTGCAGGACTGTGTCATTTGGCTGGACTATGAGAACAGGGTGACAGGCCCGAGAAAGCTCTGCTCACGCTCAAATCTTACAGAGGCCAGACAAAGGCGGGAAGAGGAAGGGGAGGCTGGGACAGGAATGGCCACCATGGTGGGCACAACCTGCCCAAAGACCTCCTGGATAACAGGCAGGATGCAGAGCCAAGGCACAGCAGCCCCACCTAGTGTCTCCCAAGCCCCACCCTGGCTACTCCAGGCCAGGAAGTCCAAGTTGTGCCCAGAGGCACCTCAAAAGAAGGGGAGGCTAGGGCCAGATCAAACTGCCCAGGCAGGGCTGAAGAGCACTCGAGGAGGTGGACAGATGGCCTGTTGGTTCATGGAAGGGCTCATTAATGAAAACTCCCAAACCTGACCACCTGGGGAAAAGGCTTGTGGCTCCCATGCGCAGCTGATAAGGGCCAGGAGATTCCACAGTTCAGGTAGTTCCCCCGCCTCCCTGGCTTTTGTGGTCACCATTAATCATTTCCTCTAACTGTGTATATAAGGGCTCTTTTGCAAGTGAGCCCAGTACTCAGAGAGAAAGGCTAAAGTCCTTAGGAGGATGTGGCTGCAGAACCTGCTTCTCCTCGGCACTGTGGTTTGCAGCATCTGTGCACCCACTGACCTGCTCAGCCCTGTCACCCAGTCCTGGAAACACGTGGATGCCACCATCAATGAAGCCCTGAGCCTCCTGAACCACACTAGTGACCCGGCTGCTGTGATGGTGAGTGAGGGAGAGAGAATGTGGGCTGCCCTGGGCAGCCTGCCTGCTGGCCCCGTACTGGCCCCGCCTGACAGCTGGATAACATGATGTTTTCCTTTCCACAGAATGAAACAGTAGAAGTTGTCTATGACCAGTTTGAGCCCCAGGTAAGGTGCTTCTCTCTCAGGCACACTCTGTGTCCTGGGGGCTGGGTTCCAGATGGATCTTCACAGGGAATCTACTTCCTTGCCAGTCAACCGGCTGCCAAGGGGAGGGAGTAGCTTTTGGGTGCCACTCACCTGGCACCTGGTGGTCACATGAGCTCCTTTATCAACTGAGCAGCTGGGGGCAAGCCTCCAATTCAAAGGCAAAGGGTCACTGGGGGATGGAGGAAAAGCCAGGTCTTCCTGAGATGGGGTTGTGGGCCAGGGGCACTCTCTGTATCCTAAGTCCAAGCCTTGTGGAGACAGGGTTTTAGAAGCAGCCCTGGCTCACAGAGCAAGTCAGAGGCAATGCCCCGCCCCACCCCGCCCCTTCTCTTGAATGGTGAGGTGAGTGTGGGGGCTGGGACCTCCTGAGGCTTTGGGCTGAGGGAGGATCTGTGCTGGCTGAGGCTGGCCTGAGCCAGGGAGGAAGGGAGGACAGATGTGTGTCTGCAATGCACACAGCAGTGTGCAGGACTGGCCCAGCCTGAGACTAGTCAGGAGTCATTCTGTGCCCCTCTGAGGCCCTGGGGCAGGGGTGACACGGGAATGAGTGATGAGGCAGGTGGCCACCGCTGGTGCTTGGCCTCTGCTCACTGTGAACCGGGCATGTTCGCAGGAGCCCACATGCCTGCAGACCCGCCTGGCGCTGTTCATGAAGGGCCTGAGAGGCAACCTCACCAGGCTCGAGGGCTCCTTGACCTTGATGGCCAACTTCTACAAGCAGCACTGCCCCCCGACCCCGGTGAGTGCCCTTGGCTGGCAGGGTGGGGACAGGTGGGGAGAGGCCTGCAGCAGAGGCTGCTCAGGACCCGGAAAGGTTTCCTGCTAACAGATGTATTATGAGGAGCCCTGAGAAAGGGAGCCACCGGCAGCGCACCCTCTCAGCCCTAGGCGGCAAAGCCTGCAGCGCTCCCTACTGGCAGCTGCTGCCCCCTTGTTTCATCTTGGGCAGGAATGAGGTCAGAGGTGAGGCCAACCCAGAAAAAAGCAGGGCATGTCCTAGGTCCACAGGAAGTGCCAGCCGCATGCTGCCTCCTAGTATTACTTTCCTGTGGGGTGCCAGATTGCACTGGAGCAAGGAGGAGAACTGTCTGGCAAAGATGAAGGCACCAAACACCCTTCTTCCTGCAAGAAGCCAGTAATGGGTGGGTGATGGGTGGCAGCCTCTGCCTGACCTCTGGGCCCTGGCCGGGGATCAAGGGGCAGTGCGACAGCCTAGAGCAGCTCAGAGTAGCATGTTGTCAGGACGCTAGCCCCAGCCACCCTTGGTAGAGCTGCGGAGCTCTTGGGCAGCACATGGGTAGCAACAGAGTCACCTGACCAACCCTCCCCCGGCCCCAGGCCTGGGCCTTCAATGGCCTCCACATTTTCAGAGGCGGTACAGAAATGCACTGCTTTTCCCCATGTTACCCACTCACCTGGACTCAAGTGTTTCTTATTTTCATTTTTTTTCTTAAGGAAACTTCCTGTATGACCCAGATTATAACCTTCAAAAGTTTCAAAGAGAACCTCAAGAGGTTTCTGTTTGCTGTCCCTTTTGACTGCTGGAAACCGGTGCAGGAATGAGGCAGCTCGGGTGGCTGGGCCAGCCCTTGGAGCTCAGTGCCCAGGCTGCGACTGTCTCACCGGGACAGAGGCGGAAACCCAGGACCTTCCCTGGAAGGGACCAAGAGGTGGCCACAGCCACAACGCAGGGAGCACGGACCTGCCATGGGCCACCTGGACCCTGATGTGGCTGTGGAAGAGGATATTTTATACTGTCAGAATCTGGAGTATTTATTTATATATTTATATTTCTAAAATATTTATTTATTTATTTATTTAAGTTTATAGTCTGTATTTATTCCAGATGTATGCCATAATAAATTATTCAAAGTCTGATTTTATTTTGTGTCCTTTTCCAGTCTATTTTCAGAAGGGGGAAAAGGTGGGAGGTGGGGGTCCAGGCTGGGCTGAGTATGATGCTCCACACTCCTGGGTCTTCTTCTCGGGTGCCCAAGGCTCCCACCCAGAGAAGGAACATTCCAGGAGGTCTAACCTAGAGAAGGGTTGTCTTTCTGGGGAAGGCAGGGACTGTGGGGGGTCGGGTGGTCACTGCCCCTCAGAAACTGAGAACTCTGTGCTCCAGGCCCAGCTGTCACACTCAACCTCTCTAAAGGTAAATCAGCAAAGAAACTAACTTTCAGAGAAAAAGAAACCACAGGGGTCAGAGCTCAGCATATTTACCCAACTTTCCCCCAAATGTGTGATCTTAATCTTTGAGAGTCAGAATGTAAGTTCATGGTGTGTAGGAACATGAGTCTAGTGCAGCATTTTTCTGAACTGCTTTTTATCTTTATATGGAGTTTTGGATCCATCAGATGCTTTCTCCTAAAATCTATGACTTTCCAGCCAAGCAAGAAGCAGCCATCTTGCTTTGACAGCCAGGCTGAAGGCTCTTCCCTGGACCTTGAACTCTGTGTCCCTCCCGAGGATGGGGAGGGAGGGACTATGTCCCCAAGGCTCGGGTGCAGACTGGGCCAGCCTTGTCCTTGCAGGTGGGTCTGGCAAAGCCATTTCTGGCAGCTTCAGGGCCTGCCAGCACCCAGCAGCTGAGTGCCCACTGTATCACTTGCGCCCTCTGCTCCATCCTACACCTACACATGGCACCAATCCCGGCCAGAGACCTTGCCCACACATGGGCAGGAAGGTCGAAACTCCACATATAGATTCCAAATAACCAGTCTTTGGGCAAGCCTGAATTTCGGCAAAAACAAGGATCCATAAAGTGTGCTGTGGTCACTAAAAGTGCATGAACAGCACTTCTTGCCCGGCGATAAGGTCCTTTCTGTCTTCCTCGGAAGCCATCGATGACTGATAAGAGGTTTGCATTTCCTTACACTCATATATATAGGTACCCTTTCCCACAGAAATGCTGCCAAGCCTGGGCTCGAGCTGGCTGGAGCCTCCTTCAAAAGGCATCATGCACCTTTACATGCTCCTGGTTTGTGCGCTCTGGATGTCAGAAAGCCACTCGGCACCGATGACAGCAGTCACCACAACTTCTGAGAACAATCTCACGGCGCTCTGTGATGAGATTCGGCAGAATCTCGTTGATGACACGGAGATGTACCCGGTAAGCCCGGGTCTCCCTTGACCATTCTGTCCTGGTGGCCATTGTGTTTCTGACCAATTTCTCTTGCTGCCAGGGTTCCTTCACAAGGCCCCAGAACACCAGTGAGGTAAGCAACATCTACTCTTTGGGCTTTTGGGGCACATCTGAAGAGGGAGAGGGGATGGCCTTGGTCAGCACACAGGGTAGAGAACAGAACAAGCAACACTGGAGACTTTGAAAGCTTAAGGACAGATCCTCCAGCTCTGCCAACAGACAGACCAGTGGCCAGGCCCTGGGCTTTAGCACCCTCTTCTGCCACCATCCCAGCACAGCTGAGGGCCACCTCCATGGGTCTCCTGCAGGTGGGTCACCAGCTCAGGGCCTGAGCTTAGGAACAGGGCTCATCAGGCTACAGCAGCCCAGGACGGAGGACCAGCTGTGCCCCCCAGTGCGCTCCCACTATTCAGTGCCCCCCAACCCTCTTTCAGGAGCTCTGCTATGCAGAGTTTACAGAGATCTTCACCTGCATCTTGAAGAACCTCACAGAAATGCTTATAAAGAATAAAAAACCCGACCAGCACATAAACAAAGTTTATAAAAACATGGTGAAGCTCCCTCGGATCTGCCCAAAGCTGGAGGTAAGTTACTATTCACTGTTAAGGGATGCTGGGACTTAATCTCCCTCTACCATGCCAGGGGCCCAGTAGGGCAGGCAAAGGCTTACCACTGGGCACCCTGAGGCTTTGGGTGCTATTCTTGGGCTGCACAGAGAGCTGCTCTTTGGGATTGTCTCAAACCCTGATTAAGTCCACTGTCTGACTGGCTGCTGGGCGGCGAGTGAAAAGCTGAACATGAAGAAGTGTAAACTCAAGGGGTGGTTCTGGGGGTTTCTGGCTACACCTCTGGCCAAGGCCCTGTCCCCGCCAAAGTCAGGGCAGGGCAGGCAGGTCTGAGATAAATAAGTTGGAGCTGGGCTCCCGTTTGCCCCATCCTTGGGTCTCTTCTGGGCTGAGGGGTCCCATGGGGAGCCCATGCCGGGGGAAAGAGCTATAGTTAAAGGGGGGCATCTGGAGAAATTGCTGAGTTGTTCTCTCTCTGCCAACTGCTTTCATGGTCCTTGGTGTGCTCCCCCGCTTCTGCTGTCCTCCTGCTCTCGTCCTGGGCAGCCCTGGGACCTGCCTACCGCTGCTGGCTCCCTCACCGTGGCTGCTGCGGTCCTTGGACTCGGCCCCGACTGCCTTCACCCTGGCAGGTGGAGGGGGCCTCCCCGAGCTACCCCTGGGAATGGGGCTCACAAGACTCTCATGGCTGGGATGACCAGAGTCTGCTTTTATTTTATTGATTTGTGTTTCTCCTAAATCAATGACTTAATCATGTGTTTCTTATTTAGCCAACAGACTCACCCAAAAACTGTGCCACTGAGGAAAGTAATTTCTCCATGTTCAAGCAAGCCCTAGAGAGTGTGATCACATCCATAGAAGGATGGACATCATGTCAGAAGATCCAGGGCAGCCTCGGGGACCCTGTCCTCTTCCAGGTTTAGAGCCATAAGAAACAGGCTGGGGTTGCGGAGGGGAGTTCACTGGCCTTGGGCGATGGGGTGATGTCCGACATGTGGGGGTGGCAGGGAGGGGTGTTTGCCCAAAGACACATTTGTAATGGACACATTACTGTTGTCAGCTTCAATAAAGTTGGGGTGTGGAGAGCTGGGGAGTGAGAATCACTCTCAAATAGCCTCACTGGGGATCGCACTGACTGGAGGGGCGAGAGGGTTCCGTCACAGGGCTTTTGACCTGGAGGCCCAGAGGTCATGCAGGAAAAGCCTCCGGCCCTGGGTGGACAGGCAGAACCCACGCGAGCCTTCCCTCTCTGCATCTTTGTAACAGTGTGACCTGGGAAGGGCTCTGTCAGCGCCCCCTGCCCTTCAGAAACTGACTCCTCCCTTCCCAGACCTCCTCTGTCTAGTCAGTGCCCATTCACTTCAGACCCAAGTACCAGGACTGAAGCTCAAACCATGCCTCCTTTCTTCCCTTGCTCTCAACTACAGGAAGCCTTAACTCTAATCAGCAACCCTCCAACCCCACCCCGCACCCCAGCCCAGCATAGTGGCACAGAAATATCAGCCCTGCTAAATGGTTCAGAAGAACCAGGGTCTCCAGCTACTCACGACTGGGCATGGTGTGGGACTCAGGAAGGGCGTCTGTGCACAGAGGCCCTGCATGGGCAAGGAATTGTCTCATCTAAATGGAGCTCTTACTCAGCCCCACGGAACCCCTCTCAATGCCTCCTGGGGGCTCAGTGGCATTGTGCCCTTCCCCCACTAGTAACACCCTTCTGCTTCCAGAGCACTGTGTCCTGTTAGGGCGAACCCACCTGCTGCTCAGGTCCTAAAGTGCTTTAGATGGGGCTACCAAGTTATGAGCCTCCAGTTCTAACGGTAACACTGATCATTTGAACAGTTTATTGAGGGGAACCTGTAATTACCCCACAGGCTAAACAACTTCCTACAATTCAAAATTCTTAGACCATGAGCTTCTTTCAGGAAACAGGACAGATAAAGATCTGTTTATCCTGGAATATTGTTAGATTTCATGCTGCAACCTCAACTTGGCCAAAACCAGACCTGCAGGAAGTTTGCAGAATCTGCTCACAGGCTCTAAAGCTTTGGGCTGTGCCAGTGACAAGCCCATAAGCCAGCACACACCTGCCCAGCCCCATTCCTGGCCCGTGGGTCCCCAGGCCACCCCACTCATCTCTACCTTAGGGGGCCACATTAAGCTCCAGAAGTCAACAAGTATTACTGAAAAGCAGCCCAAGCCTCCCAGATGGGGGATCAGAGGTCAGGGACAGGTATAGGGCCAGCGCCAAAGGGTGGCTTCAGTCAGGAGAAAGCATCACCTAGGACTGTGGGCTCCTGGTCCTAGGGAGTACTACATAGGTTCCTAAAGCTACTTCTTTGTAAGAGGGCACACAGCCGCCAAGGTCTGCTGTGACATATCAGCAGGAAACCCTCCTGTTGCTCCCCAAGCTCCCAATCAGCTGGCACCAGGGCATCCAACTTGAGCTCCTGATGAGGCCTGAGGCCCTGAGAGTAGAGAGAGACCAGACTCACATGGAGGTCCTTGTCGGCCCATGGTCGTGCCGAGGTCCGGAGGGTGTGCGTGGGGCGTGTCTGCCACTAGCTTGCTGTGTGAGCTCAGACAGGTGCCTCAGTCTCCCCAGTACAGAGTCCACACACACAGCAGCTCCCAGCACCAGAAGCCAGGCCCCAGCCAGGTGCAGGGTGTCTGTCAGACTGAACGGCCTCAGAGCATCTGGCTCAACTCTGGAAAAGCTGAGGTCAGAGAGGTTGCTGGAAAGTTTCTGGAACCTCTGATGGTAAAGAGGGATCTTGGAAAGACATGGTGGAGAGGGCAGGTGGCAGTCTCACATGAAGTGACAGCCTTCGTCCCCCTGACAGACTGAAGCCCTGATCAAGGTCCACAAAGAGCCACTCATGAAGGGACTGCAGTGAGGGCCACCAGGGTTTTCCACATGCCTCGTATTCCTCTTAGGAGGCTCAGATCTGTTCAATGGGCTGGGGAGCCTGCAGGAGGCTGGAAGCATGTGGGCGCTGCTCTGGAGAACACCGTTGCTCACGGGCAGGCCAGAGCCCACAGTCCCTGGCAGTCTGCTGGTGCTGCATCAAGATACTGCTGACACACCAGAAGGCTGGGGCTTGGGCTGAGAAACATGGCCTTGACCCCCAGGTTCTGAGGCTGAGCAGGAGCACCCCCTTCCTCTAGGATATTA